GTGAGGCGAGCCCGGGCTGAGGCGGGCTCGCGCTGAGGCAGGTGGCCGTGAGGCGGGCTCCGGGCTGAGGCGAGCCCGGGCTGAGGCGGGCCCGCCGTCTCCAGAGCGAGTGGCGGGAGCCCGCTCCCACAGCGCTGGAGCCGCGGCCCCGCAGGCTTTTTGCCCAGCCGAGAGACCCCCCCCGAGAAAGGCAGGCGTGTTAGAAACGCGAGGGTGCCCCCAGGGAGCCGGCGGTGGGTTCTCCTGGAAGGTCTGTAGAAGGGCGGGCGTCGAGTGGCGCTCCCGCCGGCAGGGGAGAGGGAGGCTGCCCGCCCCTGGGCTGACAGGGCCGAGCTGTCCCGCATCAGTCCCGAATAACCCGCGGCAAGAATCCACTAAAATAATCACTAATCTACTCCATGGTTTGTTGTGTGGGGTTTTTTTTTCCTTAAACTATTGAATCCTGCAAAAGTCTACTGCGCTTGAGGAGTAAGCGTTAGAGAAGGCTTAATGCTACTGCAAAAGTTAAGGAAAAAGAACTAAAGATTCTTTGGCAGTTCAGAGAGGAGGCCTTTCACTCAAAGTGGGAAGAAAACTTCATCTCCCTGCGATGGATCCATCTCCCTTCATCCTCTCCTTTCGTGAAGCCCAACACTTAACCTGTGCTCACAGTAAAGGGAAGGAAAGACAGAGAATGATGTTCTGTATCAGCAGATACACACCCTGCTGCCGCTCCCTTTCTTTTGTTTCTGGCAAGTGTTGCTCCTCTGTCCTAAGGCACAGACCTAGCAGTGAGAATGGCTGTTTTAATATTGAAATAGAGAAACAAAAAAGGGGAGACAAACGTATAGGCTTTTTGCATCCAGCATTTCCAACATCTGAAAACTCCTCTCCCCTCAGGAGTCTCATTTACAAGGTAAATAATGGAGTGAAAACCCTTACGTGGCTCAACTGGTTGAAGGCAAAATTCCCTTCTGCCCACAATCCTGCCTCAGTAAACTGACTGTTTTGCTGGAAAGGCTGCCCCTTCAAATGGCTGAAAATACAAATAAGCGCAGTGCCTCCCACCTGAAAACCAGTTAATTCTACTACTAATATTGTTAAAAGCCATAGCTGATGGTGAAAAGTGACATGGGCAGAGAGGATGTCGCTGTCATGTAGTTCAGCAACACTTAAAACACCTTCCATTTTATCCCACCTTAATACGGTTTCATTGTAAAGTCTGTTAACATTTTACCACAATCTTTTGTAACAGTAATAGCTTTAGTAAGCTTTGTAAGTTTTATTGTAATAGCATGCTTTGAAGAATTTCACCTGCTGGAAAGTTCCCACCTCAGTTGTGTTCTATCATTCATTTTTTGCCATTTTCAGTGGTCTGTTAATTCATCACTGCTCACTGCATTGCACAAATCAGTTTTGTTTTCCTCTACCCTTTATGCCAGTGGCCATGAATTACAGCTCCCAAACTACGTGATGCTTTTCCGACTTCAAAAAAGTGGTGCTGTATTTTGCTTTCTGTGTATCCACGTTCTTAAGATTCATGGAGCAAAGTGGTACCGATTTCATTATTTTGTGGACTGATCAACAACAGCTGAGGTTTGTCTGACAGGAGCTGTTGAGCTGAATGAACTGCTCCAAGTCAGCTGCCTCCCGGTGCCTACTGGAATTGTTCTTACCCTGCTCTGAATGCAAAGTGCCTGGGAACGGCTCAGCCCTCCGTGCTGTGCTCCTCGTGGTTTCACCAGACCATAAGACTTGTGCTCCTGGCAGCGCTCGGGAGGTGAATGATTCCTCCATGTGACTCTTCTGAAGCAAGCGGTGGGACCCACATGGTCCAGGGGCAGCAGGAAACACCTTCCCGTTGTGCTGCAACAACTGGTTGATCCCTGCAGCAGGTTTAACGCTCTCCATGTGAAGTTTCCTTCAGGAGCTCTGAAGACCTTTTCTTCAGAGATGCAGAACTTCTGTCCCAGTAGTTTCTAGGCACAGCAAGGACTTTCCTGCTTCTCCAGTCATTCTGGCAAGGAGATTCAACCAGGAAGAGAAAAAAGTCAGCACTGTGCTAAAGTCTCCATCTCACCTTCCTTTCACCTTCTGTCACCGAACCCATCACAATAAAAACAAAGGTCCATTTTTTCCCCGAAGCTCCTCTGAGGTCCAGAAAGAGCCCAGGTGGTGCTGCCAGCGTGTGTGGTGTCACCAGCACTGCTGGGCTGTGCCTCTCACCAGGAGGCTGCCAGAGATGGGAAGGAAAGCGGAGCTGGTCCCTGCTCGGACTCACACAGCACCAGGACAGAACATCTCCACCCGGATGGGGACACATCTGCCCTGACCTGGTCCATAAGACAACTCAAAGCTGTACGTTCATGAAGGTATAATTAGCTGCTCACTCGTTATTACGTTCATGGCAAGAGAACTGAGCTATGATAAGAAACTGAAACAAAACAATATATAATGTTTGTTGTGTTTTGTTTTGTTTTTTTTTCCATAGAACCTTCTTACTGGTCAAAGCTTCATTAAGAGGCATCAGCAAGGTAAGAATCACAATTAGAATCAAGACCTTTTTTGCCTGCAAGCTAAATTGTTTCTCAAAAAACATACTAAAGGTTGAATTATTTCTTTAAATTCTCTAGACACGAGACACTATCACTTAATACTGAAGAGCCATGTTTGGAAGAAAGCGCTCTGATCCCTTACGGAGACAGACACGCAGGCACATTTTTCTCAATTTAAGATTTCAACTTGAGAACAAACATATTTCCAGCTTCTTTCTCAAGCCTTCAAAACAACTGCATCTCACACCACAGTGTAATTTTTCCTCAGGGTATCTCGGGGGATTTATGTTCCCTACTGTCAGTGTTACAGGCAGCAGCTCCCTGACATGCTGATGCCAAGATACCGGCATGGAAGTGTGGGAAGAGAAAACCTGGGGGTTTTTTTTTTTGGTAGCTGTTTTGTGTCAGGTAAAACAAGCTTTCCTCAGAATTTGGCAACAAGAGCCTTTTTAAAAATGAGGTAGAGCAGTAGTTATTTTTCCCCGGGGCAGGAAGAGAGAGCTGTGCTTCCTGACAAGCAGTAAGAAGTTTTACAAAGCTTACAGGTGAAGGCAGCAGCATGTGCAGGTGCAGGGGCCAGGCTGAGGCCCTGAGAGCACAGACCTGGGTGGGGAGAATCTCTTTTCTCTACTGATACTCATTACTCCCTGACAGGGCTGTTCAGGCTACGAAAATCAAAGTAGAAATCCACTCACCTCCTCCGTATGCTCCCTTTTGTTTTTGCAGGACACCAGTTTCCCAAAGCAGTTCAGCACTGGGGAGTTTCAGGGATTGGAAGCGTGGTGTGCTATCTACCAACGCTTCCCGAGCCTTGATAAAACCACCTCCGGGTACACAGCATCCAGACCAAGGACACTCTGCCAGACTGAGCTTTTAGTGACACCACCGTGGGCCTCGTAGGCACAAATGGTAATTGTTTCTTCCTTTCATAATGGAAAATTGCTTATGGAAACAACAGGTACGACACCCCAGTGACCTCTAGTAACAGGAGAGATGTCCCATACTCACCTATAGCCTCTGGTTTTGAAGGGACAGTAAGTGGACGGGGAAAAATAAAGCTCACTTCTATGAGTACTTACATTATATTTGGCCTGTGCAATTAAGTTTAACATTACAAGACATAACTGTGTTTATCTACCCCTCATTAAATACTGTCTTTAAAACCACTACATAAACTGGATTCGGTCTTTTGCCACAGCTGCAAAAAATGGGAGAAGTAATTTCTGACCGTCTGGTTTGGAGCACGATGCAGAAAAGGTGGATCAGCCAAATAAGTTATATTTCTGCTTCATATTGTTATGTTCAGTTTCTGCCTATTAAAATGTTTCCACCATTATCACTGACAGCTAAAAATAATTACAAAATTACTTCTTTCCCATTTATCAAAAAAGGAAAACCTCAACTAAATCAATACACAGGTCACACAGTGATGAATACAATATTCTAAGCTGGATTTATTGTTTCCAGACATTAATGTAATACATAAACACGTTAAAAGGGGGGATATAGTAACAAGCAACCCATCAACAGAAATGAAGCAAGTCTTTGAAATTTTTGTTCTATACTTACACATGAAAATGTCCCAAAAAGTTAAGTAGTTGTCAGTCAACATAGCAAGGATTTCAGATATAAAAAAAAAAAAACCCAAACAAGTCATTAATGAGTTTTTTATAACCAAAATGTTTGGTTTGGTTTTGGCTTTTTTTTTTGTATTTTAATTTATTTTTAGGATAAAAAAGAATAACCATTACCTCATGCAGTGTACAAACGCTTTAAAATGAATCCATTAATGCAAATGAAAGACTAGCTCCTGAGGCTTTTTTTTTAAACACCAAAAAAACCTCAAGGAGTTTCAAAAATTAATTTCAACTTGTTTTCTTAAATCCATTCTTAGCAGTGAAGAAGAAACCTGTAACTTCCTTGCACTTCAGCAATTTATTCAGAGGTACCTCTTTCAATACAAACATGTCCTTGCAACGTATTTAAGAGTCCTTTAGTTTACGAGAGCTTCAAATGAAATTAAGTGCAAAAATGTTTTCTTAGTGTTTTCCAATTATTGAGGTAAATAGTTCGGAAAAAAAAGAAAAATTAAAAAAAAAAAAAAAGGAAAGTAGCAGGATATCACCTGTACGTACACCAAGACGGGGAAAAAAAAAAGGCAAATCTGAAATACATGGCTATGGTGCACAAGGGAGAGAGATGTGACAGAAGGATCGAGGAAGAAATAACAGCAACAATCAACAGTTCCCCAGCAGAACTTTAAACCAAAGCCCTGGAAACCCACTCAGCAGATCACCACTGGCTGAAAATAAAGGGTGTTTATTAGTGTGCCGGGCTATCGGGCAGGGGCCACACAACAGTAACCGACCGCCTGACAACGCCCAGAATGGAAATGCTGTTCTCCAACAGCTGCACCACATCCTCACCAGCTACACAGACACCACGAGACCCACCAGACAACGAGCTCCCGACGGCAACAACGGGGGTCACAAGTACAGAGCAGTAGCTTCTATAGGAAATAATATCATATATGGCAAACGAGAGACTGAGTTAGCAAAATGTGTTATAAAAAAGTAGAAAAGTTGTTTTTTTTTTTAAAAAAACTCTCTAAAAATTTCTTCTTTTGGGAAGGAGGAACGTTAATCTGTGGCCTGGCATTATTACAGTAACTGAAGTGCTTGTATCAGATTGCTGGTGATGGACTTCTTGCAAATCAGAGGCGCGTCTGTACAATGCCCCGGGGTGAATGCCTGAGCGCTGCCCAGACAGTCGGGGAATTTTAATATCTGCAGCAGAATCAGCTGTGTTTGTAGAGGGTGGACTAACACTTGGGTCGGAAATCTCTTCGCTTGGTATGCAGAGGGTTGTGTGACACAGAGGCTCTAACAGACGGTTTTCAGTTCAGTCCCACTGTCTGGATCCCAAACACAGTCCCCAGTATATTCTGGGGTCCTTCCTTTCAAACCTGCCTGGCTGGGGAAGGAGTTCAGCTTCGTGCCTGATGAGCCGTGGCTTTGAGTCCCTGCTAAAGCCACCAGAAAAGGCTACTCTCAGGAAACAACACTTGAACTCGAAAAATAAAGAAAGCGGAAAATGTTAGCTCCGGTAAGAAACAAGTTGCTGTTCTTCAGGATTGCCAAACCTCAATTAATCATCCTGGGTTAATAAGCTTTTTGACAGCAGGCAAGTCCAGTATGGACCCTGCACACTGGCTACTAGCTGTGACCACTGTGAGGTCTGAGTTAAATGAAGTGGATCCCAGCTTCTCCAGCCTGGTAGAGCTGGGAAGGGGCAGCTTCTTGCTTCAAGTTCACCTGAAGGATCCTCCTGCCACTTCTCCCCACTGTTACCCTCTTCAGCAAACCCCAAACTCACAGTGAGCTCTAACACTTCCATCTGCTTTGAAGCCCAAGGCAAACTGTACAGTTCCCACCCAAATCCTCACATCTTCTTTCAAGTTCTTCGATAGATGTCTTTTTTCCCCTCATTCTCAGGCATGTTTTAAAGCCTAAGTTAAAGGTGTTTAGATATGAAAAGTGCCACAACAAGGGGTGCAAAAGCCATCTCACCTTTCCCAGATTTCAAAGTTAACAATGCTATTAATCCAAGCCCAAGTCAATCCCACCTATTCTTTAGCCACACAGTAAGGTCTTTGTAATCTTAAGAGTATGGTGGAGTTATTTGCTCTTCAAGCTGATCTGACCCGCATTCACCAAATTTGAACACTCATGTCTTCCAGAAATCTGACACAAACAATTCAGGAATGTATTGCAAATGAAATTTAACATTACAAAGATTGAAGATTTAAAACAACATTGAAAATCTGTTTTGTTTTTTCTTAGCAGTTGCTTCTGAACTCCATTGAACTGCTCTGTAACTTCAAACCAGATGCTTACTACTCTGCCTCCTCACCTTTGACATTATCCTCTCAGCCACAGATTCAACCTTATTTTAAAAACGTTGATATAATACGATGTATGCGGAAATGCCATGAACCACAGAAGTAAAAGACTAAGCCTTAACATTCAGAAGAGCAGCATAACCTCTCTTGCCATATCACCCCTTATATAGTAGGAGGATGAGGGTTTTTTGGTTTCTTTTGTTGTTTTTACCTTAAACATGAGCTTAATCCAAAAACCACATTCACCTGTACATTTTCTGAGGCTTCAGAAGATGCCTTTCCCTCCCCCCCATTTAAAAAGAAAAAGAAGAATCAAGGTTAGATAGAAATGATTAAATACAAAGTTCTTTTGGAGTCCACCATCAAAGGGTGGTTATCCAGAAGTAGTCATCTTCCTCGATCTTGATGCTTTTTTGTTTTCGTCTTTTTCTTTTTGTCCTCTGTTTTGGGTTTCAATGCACAGACACATGCAGACACGCCAGCGATCGCTTTGGGTAAGTCAGTTCCTTTGTACCACTTATTTTTCTCCTTGTCATAAACCTGGACTGTTTTGGAGAAGACCGTTTCTTCCCAGCTGTAGCCTCCCAGGATATAAATCTTGCCATCCCAAACTGCCACCCCGGACTCACTGTTTGCTTGCAGCAGGGGAGCAACTCTGGTCCACTGGTTACACTGCGGGCTGTAGGACTCCACGCTCAGGATGTCGAAGCGAGCCATGGTTTCGATGTTGTCATCGCTGCCACCGATGGAGTAGATACTGTCCTGTAAGGTGCACATGCTGTGCCACCCTCGGGCGGTGATCATCGGCCTCTTCTCCTCCCAAACGTCCGTGCGGTAATCGTAACACAGCAGGTTTTTTCTATAGGGGCCAATTTGGTAGTCATGACCTCCTGAAATGTACACAAATTCCTTGTAGACTGTTCCAGCGTGGCCGTAGGTAAACCTAGGAGAGGCAAACAGAAATGATCCGACTCAATAATTGAGGATTTTATCAAGAAATGGATATTAGGAAATGGATATTAGGAAAAATTTTTTTCACTGAAAGGGTTATCAGGCATTGGAATGGGCTGCCCAGGGAGGTGGTTGAGGCACCATCCCTGGAGGTGTTCAAAAGATGGGTTGATGAAGTGCTGGGAGGTCTGGTTTAGTGATGATGCTTCTCGTTTGTTGTGTGGGTGACTATTTTTGTCAGTTAGGTTGACGGTTGGACAAGATGATCTTTAAGGTCCCTTCCAACCTAGAAGATTCTGTGAAACACGAGCATTCAACAAGGACTGCTACTAAAGGAGAAAATAAACAGTAACTAAAGACAGAAGAATCCCTAATCTTGTTAGTTACCCAGTAACTATTCTCATTCATTCTGCTTCACCCTGCGCTGCAGAGCGCTAAGGTACGACAATCACTTTTAAAGGCATCCTCTACATCGTGTCAGACAAGAGAAGGAACCCATCCTGCTCTAGTTGTCATGGCCTTCACACCCATTTTCCTTCTCCAGTGCCTGGGTTGGATCAGTCTGAGAGGGCCAGAGAGAAAAAAAATCCACATCTCAGCAAGGGTTTTTATGACAGAAAGAGGAAATCATCATGATACCTCTCAGACTCGCCAGTAGTGATTAACTAAGAAGAACCAAGAAGAAAACTGCTGCTGCCTTCCCCTTCCACAGCTTCAGGATCACGAATCACGTTTCTTACCCACCAGTGTTCACAGCCCAGTTTATCTGCAGTCATGATGGATGCAGTGTCCTTTTCATGAGCTATCCACCTGTTCTACCACTTCTGCTAAACAGGTGGTAACTTCTTTGGTCACCCCATGACAAGGCAACAGACCTCTGCCAGTCAGAGTCCAAGTTTGAAATAAGACAAAATGAGATGGTAGAAACCAACACCATGCATGCTCTTTCCACAGCACAGAGACCAAACCCCTTTGATCAGCTATAGAAAAGCCACTACAAACCTAACTCTTGAGGCTGTTCTCAACTTCACACTAGGATATTCCTGACCAAACTCTTCTGGGCTCTTAGAAGTGGGATGCTAAGATGAGGGACAGCCTTGGCTTCTTTGAACATACTCAAAGCACATGCTTTCTTCTCCTTTCCTCGGCCATGGGAGGTGTCAAAAGGTGTAGCTGCAACACCAGCCACAGCAAACTGGCTCACGTACTGCTACGAAGAGCCCGAACAATTTAATAGCCATCAGGCTGCAGAGCATTATAATAAACTCATCCTGCTGCACTCACAACCCCTGCTACCGTCCTTTGTAGTCAAGGGCTCAAGACAACTCAACCTCTATGGCAGACAAACCCAACGTTAACATTGCTTTAGCCTGGAATGCTTTTGAACCGTGCCTGAACACGCTAAAAGCTCAGTGTGGATAGAACCATGAGCTGTTTTTATTTCACATGGTAATAGTTAGTCTCAGCTACACAAACCGTATCATAACCTCTTCCACACACCTAAGTGCCAAGCGGTTTTGTGCCAAGGGAAAAGGTGGAATAGAGAAGAAAACCCACATTTACCCCGAAAGCACAATACTTCTGAGAAAAGCTAAAAGTTGTTTATTATTCTAGATGCCTATTGAAGCTTCTCATCCCTGACCAGTGTCTGAATCAGATATTTTAACAAGCTCCTGCTCCAAAAAACGAGAAATCCTTGACATGTTTGGCCTAAGAATGCTGAGTGGCCAAAACAGACCTTGCCACTATAAGGGTTGGAGCACCATCCCTAGAGACCCTGAAGAGATGGTCCTCAGCCACTCAGCAAAAAGAAAGCAAGCAAAAAGACAGGCAACTAAGGCAGAGTTATGACATTTTATCCAAAAAGGCAACTAAGAAATTCCACATCTCACCATCTGCCTAACCATGGAAGAACATAACTCATGCTCAGTGCTTCTGTTGGACATGAAATACCTTGAGCACACACGCTCCAGCTTTCGCGCCTGCCAGCAATGCTCTGGCAGGTGTAGGGCTCACAGATGCTGCTCTACCTTGTTTGTGGTCTCTTAACAGGCAAGAACTGGGAGTATGTGTCTCCAGTGGCACCCAGTCTGGTTGCTAGAGACTTTACTTTCTAAGACCCATTCCTGTGTACATAGAGAAGCAGGCTACCTATGCGGGAAGTAGGATGGACAACTTGAATTTATTTCCTTTCTCCAACTGCACTTGATTTTAAATCCACATCTAACCAGCGATCTACGTGGAGGAGGTGCAGTGAACTCTACTGTGGAAGTCGTGTTTAAATGTTTTCCTGCACTAACTGAGAAGTGGAATTCTCTACAGGTAAGCAAGCAACAGACTTTTTGTCTCAAGCACATGCAATCTGTCTCACCTAGACAGCTACAGAAAAAAAACACTGATGCTATTCTTTTTGCCCGAGTCAATGGGCACGTCTAGTGAACAGCAACAGCTGCAAGAGCAATCACATCTGAAGCACCAAATTGTCCGTCAATTTGTTACCTTCCAATACAGGGAGATTACCCGTTGAAATATACTAGAGGTGTTTTTCTTTGCCTGACTTCTGAAAAACTCACCCAAAATTGCACATCTCCAGCTTCACATTGATAGAAAACCGCATGAAATATAATGCACAAGTTGAAAACAATAAATGAGAATCCTTTCTGCAAGCTCTGTGGTTGAAACCATTTCTAAACGTGCAACAGAACAGGGCCCTTCTACGCAGTGGGTCCAGACAGCCTCCAACAGAAAACGTCAAGAGATTTGGCAGCATTATCTGTACCAGTGGCCAGAAAAGGACAGAGGCACTAAGGAGAAAGAAGTTCCAGTTCAGAACATCTAGAGCCACCTGCTGATTCTGAATAACTTACCTGGATACCATGCTGCAAAAATTACAGTTTCTGATGCAGTAGCACCATTCATTAAATGCCAGAAAATCTACCACTTGTTTTCTTAAGCCAAAACACACTTGGCCTAACCCAATAACGCTTTGGGAATCCCCTGCTCCAACCAAAGTCCAGGCGAGCTGTGGTTGCTCTGAATCTCGGTGTCCACCTGTTGCAACCCTGCTGGATTATTCATGACACGACTAGTAGAGCAGATACCATCATTCGTTAGCCTGTTCCAACACATTTCCTCATACAGCAGCTTTCAGTTGTTCTGCCAAACTTTAACCTAGGGCCGCTCAATTAATTCCCCTGATGTCTGCAGCAGACTTTTTCATGGTCTATTCAAGGTTGCACCAACTTCTGCTCTGCCAAGCTTGTCAGCCACCGCTGTTCCCTTCCGGGCTAGAAACTATGGCAGCAACTGCTCCCAAAGAGCCTGGGAACATGGTGAAAATAATATAGGACCTCTCTGAAGAATGGGAAAGGTATCCCACAACCAAGGACTCGAATAAGAGTCAGGCAAAATTCACTTGAAGCAAACTTGGACCAGGTCCACCCTTTAGATAGCTTGGCTGAAGTTTTCCACGTTAAGCATCTGCCTCAAGAGGCTGTGTTTTCTTCTTCAGTAAGACAGCATTATTTCAGTCAAAACAGCTCAGCTCCTTCCAAGAAAGTAGGGAGGGAAAATGATGTGTTGTTTTGACCGTGTTGGGGTGGGAAGGGGGCAGGGGGAAGGAGAGATAAAAAAGAGCTTGCGAAGCTTTTCCTCCGAGGAGCGTGACTGTGGCTGCGTACAGCAACACGGACACAGGACAGGAGATGTCTATTCAAAGACACAACCATTCCCTTTCCCCTGAAAATCTCCACACACAGCAAGCTATAACCCTTGGGAAGAAAAACAAAACCAAACCATTTTCTGCATGCTCAGAGCAGAAGCTTTAACAAATATAACCTCTGAGAGCCCAACCCCACACAGCTCAAATTGAACTACACAAGCCTACACCCCAGAATGACCTCAACATGTGCCTATCACTCCAGAGAATAGTCTTCCAGGCAGTGGCTGGCTCAGAGGAGTCAGAAACACCCCCAGAGCCGTGGGCAGGGAGCCTGCTTCTGGTGGCTGTGCACCAAGAGGACAAAAAACCCTGCATGTGTTCTCTTCAGAGGGAAGAAGACAGAAAAATGCAGGAAACAAGGCAGCTATGTTGGGACATGTTGCCCGATCAGAAGATCAGGGAGCAGAGGATTGATGTTGCTGATTTCCTCTGCATGAGGAGAAAAGACTTGTTGCTAGAATAGGGCTGGTTAAGATGGTATTTGGGTAAAAGCAGTAACTAAAATCACTTTGAGGAACACAAGCATGTGGTGGGGAGGAAAACAGAGATAAGGTCAAGAGTATTTGGAAGGGAAGACAGTAGTACCCAGAAGGCACTGTAGTTAGCAGGCTTTCTTCTAGTGCTGGATAGATCACAAAATTCTCTCTCTCATCCTTCCCCTGCTGTCAGCAAACCCATCTGAAGGACTGCCTGCACCCCTTCCAGCAGCCACCCACACCTGCCAGAGCCACACCTCTCTGAGCTCCACCATCCTTCGCTTGTCCCTGCATTCAGGTCTCTTTCTGTTGGTCACCTCTGAGCAGATTTTTGCCTTGTGCAACCAGCGTACCTCTCTGAGCTCCACCATCCTTCGCTTGTCCCTGCATTCAGGTCTCTTTCTGTTGGTCACCTCTGAGCAGATTTTTGCCTTTTGCAACCTGCATGAAGTTCTTTTTGCTTTATTCCTTCTGTGCAGAAACACAGCTGTTTCTAACAATATATTACCCAACGCAAGAGTTCTCCAACAGGAGAAACAGGGCTGAAAAGACAGAAAATCTGAAGGCACTAAGTGTCCATTAAGATCTAACTCTTTAGTTAGGCAGAAACACAGCTGTTTCTAACAATATATTGCCCAACACAAGAGTTCTCCAACTGGAGAAAGAGGGCTGAAAAGACAGAAAACCTGAAGGCACTAAGTGTCCATTAAGGTCTAACTCTTTAGTTATGTCTTTAGACATATTAACATGCAAGAGATGAGCTACAGAAAAGTGGGACACTCCCTAGTTCACAATGTGGCTGCACAAACACCTGAGCTGGCACAAGGGACAGTGAGCACGGGACGAGGATGGAGCAGGCAGGAGGAGAGGGCACAGAACCATTTCTTTGGGATGCAGCAATAACTTCAACAGTCATGGTGTCACAGCCCCAGCCTGCAGTTTAGCAACCCAGTCCATGTGAGGGGGGTCTGTCCCATAAAGAGGACTTTTGTCCAAGTGGATCAGCCACGCAATCAAATAAAAAAAATGAACACCCCCAAGTCAAAGTTCACTTTTAAACGCTGCAGCTGCAAAATTCCCAAAGCCAACACTCAAGCAGCAGTAGGAACATGCAGAAAAACCACCCCTTTTCAGACAGCTTACAGTCTGCAAGCTTCCTCAGGACCATTTATATGCCAGGGAAAAAAAAAATCCATACCTGTTCCACAGTGTATGGTTTTGTAATAACCTACCAGGCAGCCAGGTCTCATCTACAATTCCTTGAACCCCTTTTCAGACAGCTTACAGTCTGCAAGTTTCCCCAGGACCATTTATATGCTGGGAAAAAAAAATAATCCATACCTGTTCCACAGTGAGTGGTTTTGTAATAACCTACCAGGCAGTCAGTCACATCTACAATTCCTTGAAAAATGTTTAAAAAAAAAAAAAAAAACAAACAAAGAAAGCTGGGCTACAATTTCTAGGAGATGTTACTGGGATGTTACAGATTACCCCAATTAACAGAAGGGTTTATGAACTGAAGATACTCAAGCACAGCTTTGCAGGAAGGATCATGGTGTTTAGCCTCAACTGCTAGATCTGTCTGTGCGAGCAGAAATAAAGCGGAAAAAAGCATCCTGCTCCTGAAGAGCCCTGGAGCCCAGCTGTTGGCCTGGATCAGACTCACATTGCAGCACCTGCCCAAAATAGCACTGGGCAACAGGCTTCTGTGCCTTCACTGGCTGCCCATGGCTCTGCAGCCGAGGGAGCAAGGGGAAAAAAAACCGAATTCTTAAATCAAATTGCAAGTATCTTGTTTGTGATGCTGCTAAGACGGCAAGGGCTGCTGTCCTGAAGACACCATGAAAATACCATTTGTAGAGCCAACACTCCTGTAATTTCCATGAATGTGAAATATTACTAAATCTGAACAGCTCTTTGCAAATGAAATGCTATCGTACCATTCTTTACAAAGAAATACTGATTCAAGATAGGGACAATGTCCTGTCGTGCTGTTACAAGAAGAGCAGCAGTTTTGAAGCCTTTCTAAAAGTAAAACAGCCTAGTTTTAACTTGGGCTGAGAGAAAGAGAGGTCACATTTGCCCAGGTTATCTGTATTGTAAATACAGATAATTGCAGTTTATCTGCAACAGCCAACCAACAGAGACACCTTGCAAGGAAAACAATCACAACAAGGTTACAAAGTAACACCAAATAAATTACAAAAGTCTTTGATCAAGATGTAAACAGTTTCTCCGAAAAGACTCAATTCCAAGTGACATCAGGAAAAACATTTTAAGAATAGTAAAGCGAAATTACAAGGGCTCTTCCTCCCATCCTTCAGATGTACCTCAGGACAAAAATTAAAACAAATCAAGCTGACACGAGGCATGCTGCCCAGGAGAAACAGTTGCTCAAATACCAAACGCTGATATGGTTTGTTCCTTGATGGCCCCACATTGGTTATATATTCCCTTGCCTCCCTTCTAGGGACACCCATTTATCAGCAAAAGTCACACAAGCTCCCTCTACTACTGTTCCTCAAAGATGGGACAACTTTCCAAACGCCTCCGTTACCTTGGCAAGCCCGCGATGTAGGACCATGAATCCTTCTGAGGACTGTAGGTCTCCACTGAAGAAAGGGCCCCGTTTTCATTCCTGCCACCAACAGCTACCAGCATGTCGGTAATAGCTCCCAGGTAGAAATCTACACGGCGCTGTCTCATGGAGGCAACCTGCCAAAAAAAATAGCATGCTGACATCTTCAAACATCTGGTAAGCAAACTGACTCAACGCATATTCGTGTCTGAGGATAGAATTTGTGTCTTCCCATTCATTTGAAAAGGATAACTACTGGTTTTCACCTGTTATATTCATAAAATACTTTGGTTTTTCTGCAGTAGCACGTTACGTAGCACTCCTTTTCAAAAAAAAAGGGGCAACAGAAAGCACGTAAGAGACAGGTCACTCTATAAAGGTTTGTGTTACATGGGCCTCCTTCCAAGACTCTGCAAGAAACATGAATTGGAATCACTCAGAAACCCAACTGAACCACAGTACAATTGGTTCAAAACATGGGAACAGTGTAATATTTTATAGGTCCTGTGCTGGCCGCAGGGTTTTACAGCAGGACAGGAAGTGAGTAGCTTGTTCTAACAGACATTGAGCACAGAGACATTTGGCAAGAGTCAGAGACGTTTTCTTCTTACATCAGAACCGGTTTTTTAATTCATTTATACGTTCTTCTGCTTGAGAAAGACAACCTAAGCAATCACATCTGTAAATCCATTCTAGCATTATTCCCAAAAGTAGTCTAAAGACCTGCAGGTGGATGCTGACCAGATGAGATGCCCAATTCCCCAGTGAAGCTGAAAATCTGCCCTAAAGTCTTTTGCCACGTGTGTAATTTAAAACATTCCCACAAAGGATTCAAGTAGCTGCTTTTTCCATTTAAATAACTCCATTTGCAAGCATCGCTACGTTGGCTACTCTAACAAGCCCTGCCCTTCCACCAAAAAAGAAGAAAACACTCTTAACATTAAGGACTTTAAACAGAGAAATAATACAGCTTAAGTCTCACCTTTATCCACTGGTTACAGCGGGGATCATACCTATATAGGAGATTTGAAGCTGCATCCCCTCCATTGTCCCTTGAAAAGCTGCCTCCGGCAATGAAGATGAAGCCTCCCAAGACGGCGACGCAGTGGTGGCTCCGTCTGGCCGGGAGAGGGGTTTCTGCCACCCACTGCCCCTTCCTGGTGTCCAAGAAGCAGGTGTCATCGCTCAGCTCCAGGCAGCGTTCGGAGACCTCCCCGCCCACAAAGAGGAGTCTCTCCTCGCAGGTCCGCAGGGCCGTCCGCTTGTTCTGCAGCACGGGCTGCGCCGTCACGTTGTTGTGATAGTTCACTGCTTCCTCTATGAACCCCTCACAGTTTGCCTCTTTGGGAAGGAGGGAGCAGACTGCAGGCTTGACTCGATGGAGGAGATCGCTCTTAGGTATCAAGGGGAAATGAATGTTATCCAGAACCTGGTAAGCCTCGTTCTCCCTTTCCGGGTACTGGGTGAGCCACTGCAGGGCAGCCTGCAGCAAGTCGTGCTCACACTCCTGCTGCACGTCGCTGCTGTCCAGGTATTGGCACAGCTTCTGCAAGGAGATGTTCTGCAGGAAGTCCGGGGTGAAAGACAGCGTGCCAAAGTTCTGCAAGATGAAGGAGTCAATGTAGGAGTCAAGGCGCTTCAGGTTGTAAATGGAGGCAAGCTCCTGCAGGTACAAATAGTTCTCCTCGCTGACCTCGTTCTCCAGATACTCACAACAGAAGTCAACCACCTTCCAGATCTGCAGCAGGTGAGCTGTTTCGAGCACGTAGTCAATGTTGCCTCCATCCAAAGACAGCTCGCTGCCATAAAGGAAATCCACCACAGCCTTAAGACCAATGTAAGAGGCTCCGAAAAGTTCAACCTCTTTTTGGTGGGCTTCTCGCATGCCAATGGTGAACATAGAGTTGAAGTAGTCACTGCAAACGGCGAGGAGGTTCCGATGGGCAGGGACTCTCTGCTCATCCACCACAAGGACAATGTCACAGAAGAGGCCTCGGTGCCTCTGCTCATTCAGGCTCTGGAGAACTAGACTGGAGTGGTCATCCCATCTGTACACCTGGAACAAACAAACCGTGTCAGGCAGATGTTATCTTCACCGAGATCAATCTCAGTGTGCACAAAGTATCTTCCCATTAGATGCAGTCATACAGGAGAAAGCTTACTTGTGTTGCAAATTTGTAACAAATTCTGACTTGAAAGAGTTGGCAAGCAGCACAGCAGGAGGCCAAGCTCCTCACTTTCACTTTGAAAGGACTATGCAGAGTTTCAATGCTTCCTAGCTTCCTACTCCCCTTTTTTGTTGTAATTTACTTCCACCTCCTCCGCAAAGCTGCATCCAAACCTCCTCCCTGATGACTTACACAGGCACAATTTTCTGAAACTCTTCCACTCATTGTCTTTGAGACACGATGCTGACACTTCCTTTCTTACTTGTCCCCTGAATGACTTCTCACAGAGTTCTTCTTAACTAAGCTATTTGCTAACTATTTGGAGCAGGAGACACACATGCAGCAGGATGACAGATTCTCATTCAGCCCATGTACTGTCTGGGGTAGTGCCTCCTTGACAGCGACCCCCCCCCACCCCGCCTTAAATCTTTTCAAAACTCTCCATTTCGAAGCTCGTTAGGGTTAGCTCTCTTTCTCTCCATATTATTCCAGGCACACACACTGCATTCAAAAATAATAGCTGTTTATTTATGTGCAAAGCCACACATGTGGATAACTTATTCCCATAAGACTTTTACTTGCTTCCAGAAGCCAAGGTAGCTTTTGTTTTAATGAATACAACTAAGTATTTTTCTTTTAAAGAAAGGGGAAAATGCCCTCAGAACATGTCCATTAAGTGCCCTTCTGGGATTCCTCTGGTCCAGACATTCTTCCCACCATCTCCGTACGTGCCACAGAGCTTTTAAGGCAAAGAGTATTTGGCCCCTTCTCACAGACTCGTGTTACCAGTCTTAAGAAGAACCAAAATGGAAACGTGGTGTTGCCCCTTGAACGTCCTGCAGAACATGTATTGAAGGGGCTGGTCACCCCAGTACATCAAGCAACACAGCTTTTAGGACCACGCTTCCAGAGGAACAGCACGCTCCATGGTACAGTCAGTTACCTTGTGATCTCTTGTAATAAGCCAGGTTAAGTTAAATGCAAATACGTAACTTTAATTACCAAATCCAGAACAGGCAGAGCTGCAGAGCCTGTAAGAACATGCAAGAGAAACGAAAGGCGGTGGAAAGGAAACACATCTTTTTGTCGTACCTAAGTCAGCCCTGAACAGTTCTGGCTGTAGGACCCTAGGTCTTGCCCAGTTCTACACCCTCAGACTGCATTCCCACAAGTGACACCCTGAAAACGTGTCTCAGTCCATACCTACATGTCTTGCCCAGTTCTACACCCTCAGACTGCAGTCCCACAATGACACCCTGAAAACCTGTCTCAGTCCATACCTACACTGAAAACAGACCTACAGATGACCTGAAGTTCCTTCAAGCCTCTCAGGTGTTCAACTTCTCCTTCACCAAACTGTTGTTCCTCCTAGATACCCTAACTATCTGTGGCTTTCCTGGTTTCCCAAACAGAAAGCACATGATTATTGCTGTCTGGTTAAGCCATTAGTGGGTTGGTTAAATCACGGTGAGACAACCTCTCGACCCACCTGGATGGGAAAGGTTCCAGTCCTAGAGCCAAGGCTTTTCCCCTGCCTGCAGCCCTCACTCCAGACACGCGCTCTGTGTCCGTAATTTGGTAATGGCACTTTTATATGGTGAGATAACACAGGCAGCTCCCCACTGCCCAGACGTGATGGCAGCCAATCATCCTGAGCTAATACCAACCTTGGGAGCCTGATCTCCCATGTCTGCCTTTCAGCAGCCGGCGGTGGCGCGGCAGGCAGCCCGCCAGAGAGAGACCCAAATTCATAACCAAACAGGCTGCTCTTAGCGAGATGGCCCTGTGGTTTCTCTTTAGTTTTGCTTATGCTCTTTTCTAAACAATGGAGACTGAGCTGCCAAAAAGCCTTCTGTTGGATAACTCTGTACACGCAAGTGTACAGTTAAACCAATCCAAGTGAAGAGGCTACAATAATTGTAAGTTTTCTGGGCCAAAACTCTTTAATTTGCCTTATACTCATTGCC